TAAAAGAAGGGGGAGAGCTGGGCGTCAGCCGGGCGATCCGACTGGTATATATATAATAGATGCTATCCAACAATTCCGCTTTTCACATACCATTAGGCAAAATTTTTTCTGAAAGTTGATTTTTATACGTTGATCTGCTCTGATCACGACTATGGCATTTACCTTCAGCTGTGGTGCCATTTATCGCCCATTTGGCTACTTTTTTACGAGTGGACTCGTTATGCCATACTCATTGGGACTCTCAGGACCATGCCCATCAGTCTCCCCTATGGGCGAACTTTCAACCGAAAATTTTTTTTTACTTTCTTGGGTTTGTGTATTGGGTTATGTCCCAGCATCCTTCTGTAGAAGTCGTACCCTCCCATTCAATGGTACAGAAGCATAAAACCAACAAAAACGATAAGCTTTATAGTAGAGAAGATAAACTCCATAGAAGTCATGGAATAAGAAGAAGGAGGAGACTATCATTCCTACAGTTGCATTTTAAAAAGTGGCAAACTTGGGGGAGGCTTTTTTGTCGATAGGAGCGGACGACATCTTTGTTGAGCGAGCAGTCGTTAGGTCGACAAATGTTGAAGATGGTTTTCACCTGTTCTGATTCGAATCGCGGATTCGGTACTCATAAGATCCATTCACACTGGCATGGGCATGTTCTGCCTTCCTTCCTTCCGTCATCTTTACGTCATCGCCGCTTCAACTCCGGTCATCATTGCCGACCAAATAGTTTATCACAACTCAAGAAAGTCAAAAACTTTTCCGGACGCAAGTTTGCCTATAGCGTAATCGATGGTTTTGATCGTATCGGATAGGATTGTGACAGTTATTCTTGGCGTAGACGCAATCTGACGTCAGAATACCCTGAAAGTCCTTTGAATGAGTGCGCAATGAGTCTGGTCTACTATAAAATGCTCAACGCAATGGTATCAAAAGTGATGGATTGCCGACATGTTCCCTTACTGCAAACCCAATCGAAAACCTGTGGGGGAATTAGGTTTGACGAATTTACATGAACAACGGCAGTACAACAGCGTGCGAGACCTCAAGGAGCGGTATGGCTGCATGGGAGGAAATCGATCAAGACACCATCACAATACTTGTCCACAGCATCCCGACAGAATGTTCGAAGTAACAGTGAAGCGGGGGGGGGAGCACCATGTTTTAATTCCATGATACTTTTGTTTTTTGTTAGTGTCCACATACTTTTGTTATTAAGAAAAATCATTTCTCATAGTTCACAATGTGCTCGTAGGTAGTGCATCCTATAGTTTCGCTTATGAAGAATTTAACAGTGATGTCTCAGATCGCAATATCCGAAGCAGTTCACAAATCAAAATTTGGAGTGTCCACATACTTCGTTACGCACTGTAGTAACGCCAAATGGCACCAGCCGCCGAAAATAAATGTTGATTGTAATCAGAACCTCAGTTAGCCCCCATATGCAAGTTTCATCGACTTTGTGAAAAAAGTGGTTGGCGCCAAATTGGCGCAAATGACGCCAGCGAAACGGATGTGATATTTGTGATCAGCGCATAGAATTACATGAATACACGACAACGATATCCAGCAGAAAGAATTTTTTTGAGTTTTTGGGGTAGAATAGTTCAATAGTGCCTTAATATGCTCTTTAATATGGTGGTAAAAAGGTACCACAGAATCCATAAAGTGTAACTTATACGCGCGAAAGTCAATGAAGAAAAGTGACTTTTTTTTGGCCTCCCCCCTGTGTACCCCCTAGTGACCGTGGTATAATTTTCGTAAAAGCAAGGAGTGGGAAGTGGTATTGATGCTTAGTGGATGAACCGAAGTGGAATATGGGTGTATTTGGATGTTGTAGAACAAATAGCAGTGTGATAAAATGAAAAAAATAACAATTACTGTATACGGAACACCCGTTACCCTCGCTCTGGCAAAGCTCTAGAATGATTCTACAAGGAATAAACTACTGGCTTCGATTGCTAAGGTCCGTGACCTACCTGAAACTGTTCTTAAGAAAATGAGGCATAAAGCTGTTGGAGTAACAGTAAAGGGTTCTCGACAGAGACGGTAGCTGAATCAACAGGCTCAGCTGAGGCGTGTTAGACTCTGATGGTCCTCTAAATTAGAGGATTCAAAGGCGGCTTGACGGTAGTGGTCAGAAGTGATGGAGGGACGATACTGAGTGAACAGACAATGGAAGGCCATTTTATCTCGGCCAAGTTGAGTCTGGTCTCGGCTTCGATTTAGCCCTGTCCACACTCAACCGGAGAGGGCTAAGTCAAACTCCAGTTCTCCCAGCAGCACCCGTCTTTTTCAGCCCATAGGATTAGCATCGCCTTGCTACCAATGAAAAGATTTTCGCTTGATAGAATTTCTTTTTGGAAGTTGTTGAATTCGTGCCATAATGCTACAAACAGCGCCTGCTTTTGTTTTCCGACAAAGTTATTCCGTTTACTGACCTTCGTTGACAGTAAAGTGTATCTGGGATTTTAGCATTATTCTTGGTTCCGAGGCTGACGTGCGTTACTTTTGCTACCAATCCAACGTTTCGACCAACTCACTTCCATAAAAACTCTTTACATGGAACGAGCTTTGAGGGTTGGTGTGTAGAACACCATAGTTTTTCACAGAGCGCGAATCTGACAGAACAGTAGGAGCTGAGTGTCCGTCATACTACCAGCAACTGATGCAAGCAGGCTTGCATCAGTTGCTTGGCGTGTAAGTGCTTGCTATAATTCTATGGGTTATGATATCATTCCGTTCAAACGGTGCGCAACAAGAGAATGGTAATTCGCTGACGGGCGTGGCAAGCGACGTCGCGCCCACAAATAACGCTGGTTCCAGATCGTAGATGGCGGCAGCAGGTAATGTAGAACCCAAAATGGTCATAAATGTTCACAGTTTCGTAGCCCACGTAAAATTTGGTGCTCCAATCGTCAGGCTACCACGAACTTGAAAAACGCCGCGCCCACCGCCGCGCGCGGCGGAGCGGCAAACTACGATTGGGTGTATGTCGCGTGGCGTGCCTCTACCCGTCTCCCCCATTAAAGACACATAGTACGCTCACACACATTGAGGGTGTATGAGACTATCAGCCCCTCAGCAGTCGATGTGTCGTGGTCCCCCCGCCCAGAAATGCCCAGGAATGGAGATATAGGACCGTGAAACACGCTAATTCTTCCATGCTCCGCCTTACACCTTTTTGCGGCGCAGATTCCCGTCCTTCATAACATCCGTTGCAAGCGCGCGTGTCGCGTGCGGCTCCTTGGCACTTTGCCAAGTCCTTTAATTGCGCTTTCAAATACAAGTAAAACGCAATTTCCTGATGCTGATAACATTGGAGGTCCTGCAAAATAAGAACAGAAGATGATGACGAGGGTCAGGACTTAAAGGCACATTCCGCGATAAAATAAGGCTATGACCTCTCGGATGTGTTGGACGATCCGGAAGGCCATTTTGAGGCTGCGCTACTTTCAAAATGTGAAAAACGGCAAGAACTCCGCTAGAAGCTGACTAATTAGGCCCATGGACACCCCTTAGGCCCATGCCGACCCTCACCGTCTGCTAGCTACTAGCCAGTAGCCAAATGTTGTCTTTCTCTATAACATTTCGGAGTGCTTTTTCTGCTGCTTTTCTCCGCTCATCAGATACTTAGCACTTTCTTGTGCCGATTTGAAGGCACAGCTCGCGACCGCAGATTGCGGGAAACGGAACTCAAATACGAACGGAAAAGTGCTAAATATCTGATTAGCGGAGAAAAGCAGCAGAAAAAGCAGTCCGAAATGTCATGGAGAAAGACAGCATAGTGGCTACTAGCTAGTAGCTAGCAGCCGGTGGGGGTCGGCATGGGCCTAAGGGGTGTCCATGGGCCTAATTAGTCAGCGATCAGCGGAGTTCTTGCCTATTGTCACATTTTGAAAGTAGCGCAGCCTCACCAATCACCTTCCGGATCGTCCGACAGATCTGAGAGGTCATAACGTTATTTTATCGCGGAAAGTGCGTTTAAGTTCCGTTTCCTGCAATTTGCGGTCGCGAACTGTGCCTTTAAAAGCAACAGTGCCACTTCTGCAATATCCCTCGGAGGCCGCGTATTTCCACGAAACATGAAAATAAAAACGGCATGCTCGTTAGTTTGATACAAGCAAAACGCAATTTCCTGATGCGAATAAAATTATAGGTGTTGCTCATACTTCAAAATCCATGTACAAGGAGATGAAGATGAAACAGGCTGGAAATGAAGCACAACGATGTAAATGTAAATAAAACAAAAATGAAAAAATCAAAGAAAGGCAAATTAGTTAAAATCGCCTGTAAATTTCTATGACCCGGCGCGAATCCGGCGCCAAAGCCATAGAAATACTCAGAATAAACGAGTGGGACGCTTGGATTGTTTTTATTCTCATGTTTTCTGGGAATGCGCGGCCTCTGATGGATTCTGCGGATGCAGCCGAGTTGCTCTTGAGTTCTGGCCCTTATCGTCATCTTCTGTTCTTATTTTGTAGCATCTCCAATGATATCCGCATCAGGAAATTGCGTTTTACTCGTATTTGACAGCTCAATTAAAGGACTTGGCAAAGTGCCAAGGTGCCGCACGCGACACGCGCGCGTGCAGCGGATGTTATGAAGGACGTTAATCTGCGCCGCAAAAGGTGTAAGGCGGAGCATGGAGGAACTAGCGTGTTTCATGGCCCTGTATCTCCATTCCTGGGCATGTTTGGGCGGGGGACCACGACACATCGACAGCTGGAGGGCTGATAGTCTCATATACCCTCAATGTGTTTGAACGTACCATGTGTCTTTAAAGTGGAGGTGGAGGGAGTGAGTCTCGCGCACTCGCAATGCTTTTAGTTCCTTTTCTGAGGTTCACTAGAAAAATGGTTGGGAAGTGCTTTTCGAAACGGGACGTTAGGTCATCGGAAGTTACTTCTATCAATTATGTTGGCAAAAAAGCTTCACTCATAAAGAAAGAGCTGGAAACTCGCAGTCACTTGAATTACATCGATTGAATATGGCGAGAAATTAGATTATACTTGAAACATACTTGCACTTTTCGGTCCTTCAGAACCACAGCGCTGGATGGAAAAGCCAGTCCGTGAAGGTGCAGACTAAAAATAAATTTTGATAGTTATCAAATCAGATTCGGTGATAGCTGTCATTAGTTTACAACGAAGACGAATGTAAAATTCGAAACTTCAACAGAGGCTGACCTTGAAATCGAATAGGGGGAGGTTTTCATGCTCGCGGAAGTTTCCAACTGCCGAGGAAGTTTTGTCCAAAGACCGCCGATTTCTAGCTAACCTCTAAAAAAGGAATTACCAAAAAAGTGAGTGAATGAATGAATCACCAGATGAATAAAGGAATGAAATGTAGCTGCACGTGATGTTGCCGAGTGTAAGAACAGAAACTTCTCGACAGCATGCATGTGTTTGTGCAATAAACTCAAAAGGTGGATAAAACTAAGCTGGTTAAAAACCTAAGCTAACCTTTGTTCTCCCAACCATTCTTGCTAATACATTCAAAATCAATCCAGAGCATTTCAAGCGGGGGAGGTAGTTTCACCTCCTCCCACGTGTGAAGTGGGTCTCGGTGAGAAGCTTTCCATGTGAGGGAGGGCCAGTCGGATCGGTCCCGGTGAGAAGTTTTTCGAGAGGGAGGGCCAGTCGGATCGGCCGGCTTCGCCGTAAACAAACAAATAAGTAAACATAGTGATTTAATTGTCCTTGATTTTGACTCCTATTCGCACATACCCCGTTCACTGCGATTATGCCACACTTGTGTGTTTGGGAATCGAATTATGAACTACTGCCGATGGTACCAGCCATTTGGTATACTCCCTACGGTTATCCCTCTTCAACTTCATCTGCCAAACCACTGCTCAGTTTCACCTTACTCCCCATTTCCGGAGGTTTTTGGGATGCGTTTTGAGGGTTTTCGTCCTCGGCACCGTTCACTTCGGCGAACGCCCCGCCCATCACGGGTGTACTTCATTGATTTCGTCTGCAACTTATTGTTAGCCACTTCTCCCACTCTCCGAGCTCTTCTGGAACCGAACTAGGAATTTTGCCACTTTTTCCACTCTCGGGGCTCTTTTGGAACCGAATTACAAATTCTTCGAAATATGTAGCTCCCAACTGTGCGCACGCCCGCCTACAGTGGGCGGGGCTTGAATTAGTTCATGTATGTTCCGTACATCTTGGCCCATGCCCTATTCGACCCACCCTTGACCCGCCCCTCCAACTGGCTTTTTAGGTGATTCCGAATTTCCGGACAGACAGACAGACAGACGTTGCGTTTTTATATAGTAGGATTTTTGAGGATGGTCTCACCAAGAAAGGTCGGATTTTGCTAGAGTCGCCGATAGAGATTAGTTGACCCCCCGAACACGGCTAAGATGCTTATTCTGCGCGAAGAGCGTGGCTGTCGCGTTACAGGTGCCAACGCATCGGCGCCAGCGTGTGCTGAAGAAAAACAGTAGAGAAAAAGCTCCATAACTCTGCTCGGGGGGGGGGTCGTTCCGCAAACTCTTAAAGTGGCTTTGAGTTCAGTCTCCAAACCAGTGCAATGATGTGCACCTCACTTCAAATGCCTAGGTTGACCTGTTGATCTTTCCTGGTAAGTTCCAGAAATTCACTGTTTTGCTCAAGAGCAAGGAGTATGATGGTTTGGAGTCGTTCGGATGGTGGAAGCGTCCATGCCGGCCAGCAATTTGCAGTATACACTGCGAGCCAGGAGTTTTATGACCCACAGGCTCACGACCTCGGGCCATAAGCCCCGTTGTAGAATTTTTCGAATCTGGGCTGAGCCAGACGAAACCGAACTCGACAGATAGAGCACACACTTCCACTTGACTATCAGCAGCGTGTCGTGTTAGCACACGCAAAAAGCGGAAACTCAAAATTCACATTAGGACAAAAGTCCTTTGCATGTTAAAAAAGAATTTCAACTTGCATAGAGATCCTCACATCAAAGAGCTTTACAAAAGGTCACGAGCCGGAACCGGCATGCGCGCTGGCCGTTAAGAGACACTATCAAGAAGAGCTAGTTGAAGGAACTTCAGCAGCAATTTGCTGATTACCGGTAGAGCGCTCCTTAGATCAGCGCCAGCCACATCACTACAACCTTCCCGGGAGCACTCGAAGAATGCCGTCACTTTAGAACCTCCATGAAAAGAACGAGAAATCTGAAAAAGCATCGAGCAATTAAACTGAAAGAAAAAAAAATATCACTATTGAAATAAAAACCGATGAAAAAGGCAGACCTTCACATTTCGGTCAAAAGGCGTCGCAGACGTACACTCCCTGTGTGTTCCATCCCTACTTTGATCGACGTACACTGAAAGTAATCTATTGTTACAGTTAATTATTAGGGTGGCGAAAGTTCTGTCATACTTGAACCCAAGTATTTACCTATTACCTGAAGAGGGCTAAACGGTAATGTGAGCATTTATACATTAAGGATTGATTTTTCTATTAGTGTCACTGGCTCGGCTCCTGTTCATCCTTATTCTACATTAATGGTCAAGAATGTTATCCGCTACCTTCAGCACCGACCCCTTCACGCGCTTCCTTAAACTACTTCTTCTACCACCCTAGCGCCAGCATGGCAGCTGTCGACACCAAAATAATGAAGCTGCACAAGGACACTGTCTACAGTCATCAGACAACCTTCGATGACGCTAGCTTTTCAGAGCGGGAGCCTACGGTACGAATGACGAAGTGAGGCTCGAGAGTACCTGTAGAGTGGGTCGGGAAACTACTGGATGAAGAAGCTGCCCCCTCGGTCAATCCATACGCAAGGCAGCTACGAGATCTGGAGCGAATCGTCAAGCAGAGGGCAAAATCCATCGGCACAGTCCGTCTTCAACGTGCTGGTGCAGCATACCCCGTCAAAAAAAGTTCGCGCCGTACTTTATGCAATAGAGCTGGATGGCTCTCCCCTTGCACCGGTGTAGTCCAGACACTGCTCTTTCTGACTGCTAGTCGCCTCCCGTATTCAACCGTTATCCAGCCGAGAAAACCACGACTTGAGCCCAAGTCAAAGTTAAGGTGATGTCCAACTTTGCGTCGCGGCGGCGTGCATTGTTAAGCGATGGCATCCACGAACTGTCCAAAAACTGGCAAGGATCTCTCAATAACATTGCTGTATATTTTGATCTTGTACGCCTCTCTGTAAAAAGAAAGTCTAATTTTAAAAAAAAATGTGACAAAACTTTCCCGCCAACCTAATGGAAATACGATTTCATAGATAGGATGCATTGGAGAGTCAATCATCGATAAACATAAATATCAGCGAAATTTGAACTAAATGGTCACTGTTTTGAACCAGAAATAATGAAAAACGAAAACTGCTAGAGGAAAAAAAAACAGTATGGCTCATCTCGAGACCGTAAATAGCTTGTCTATGACGCGCTTGAAACAGTTGCTGACCCATTTAGCACCCAGGGTACAGCATTATGTGAAACAGAGGGGGGGGGGTCGTACTAGGGCGATGGGGAACTTGTGGGAAAGTGGTAGGTAAGCGTTGGGGAAGGGGAGGGACACCACCATTTCACATATCACGATGCTGTACCCAATTCGCAACTCTTCGTGATTCTCTTATCTCTTGCCCGGAAAACTGCACTAGTACCAGCAGGGACAACTCCAGGAGCTAATTCTTACATGTTCGTTGTTGAACACCTCTGCTGCGGTAAATATACTGGACCTCCAATAGTGCTATCGTGGATTTACAATTCTCGTTCAATTCGCCAATGACTATGATAATTAACACATTGCCTTGTGCGCCACCTTGCAACTCACGTGATGACAAAGAATATAATTCACTTCGTCTGTTTATTTGTTTATTTGTTTGATTGTTTAGTTTGTAAGTTTAATTGTGAGTTTGTTTGTAAGTCTGTGTGTCCGGAAAGTCGGTTCGACCTGAAGAACAATTTAGATTAGAGAGCTCGGGTCAAGGTGGGGATGGTAAAGCATGGGACAAGAAATGAAAAACACACTCGACCTAAGCCCCGCCCACAGTGGGCGGGGCACTCGCTGAAAGTTTGGGGTTGCGCACAGGAAGTCCATAATTCGCTTCCGCAGCAGCTCAAAAATGGGGAAAAAGTGGAATGGGGTCAGCATGGAGTTGGCAGACTAACTGTGGGAGACACATCCAAAACGCACGGGGCGTACTCAAGGCGGGCGGCGCTTCTCACAAAACTCAGTAACCCGGTTCGCAAAGGTGTTTATAAGTAGCGAAAAGCTCGATGCAGAATGTAAATATGTGGTGAGTGTTGAGCACACTCAAAGTGTGTTGAGACCCGCCCAGAAAGGGCGGAGCTTGCCCTTAATCGCAGGATACTCATTTTAAAAGTTTGTAGCCCAGTTCCAGAGCACTCCAGACACCGGCAAAAAGAGGATCAAGGTCAGCACAGGATCGCCGGTGAGGTTTGTGGGGCACAAACTTTGCGGGCGGGGCCTTCCACGAGGTGGGCAGAGTTAGACGAAACTCTGTAGAACGGTATCAAAGCACTGCAGAGACCGGAAAAAACGTGGATTAAGGCCAGTAGAGGGTCGCCAGTGAGGATTGTGGGGCACAAACATTGTGGGCGGAGCCTGCTCCGAGGTGGGCGGAGCCGGAAAAAAATTCCGTAAAATAGTTTCAGAGCGGTCCAAACACCGGACACAACACTTGTTTGTTGTAACCCGCTCCCAGTGGGCGGAGCGCACGACGTACTTATCCTTACTGAGTTTTACCGCTTATTCTGCCATACTCTTAACCACCGGTCGTCATAGGTATTAGATTCCAGTCGGCTCGGCGGCAGATGCCAGTGCTCCTCCTCCTGTGATACGGCCCAAGTTGGCCAGACGGGCACGACTTCGCCAAAAATTCCTTTCTCAGCTATTCTATCGCCTGTGCCCATACGCACTTTAGAACCTCTCAATACTCAATAGTAGTCAAAATAGCAGGAATGATGTATTTGTTGAAAAGCTTTAACCATGAATACGGAACAAAAGTCTGATATCAGTTGAGTCTACAAATATGTGAAAAAAGGTACGCGCGGCTAAGCCGCGCCCGCCCGGCGCAGCCGAGCCGTATCAGAAGGAGGCACGCCGGCGTTAGCCGGCGAGCCGACTGGTCTCTTGTATAGATGACAAGCAGTGTTCAACAGAAGTAGCGTACTAAGCAGCGCCGTGAAACGTGCGTAGTAAGGGTGGCGGGCTTTAGCTGAAGAGGTATACGGTAAGATTTGTGGGCACCACCTAGCGCATATCCCAAGGCCTGCCTGCTGCATGACCTCACTTAGTTGCTGCGCTGACTGCTGACCTCTCATTGGCTGCTCAACCAGCGTGCGCATCGTTGTGCGAAACCCATAGGGGGGGGGTCGTACCTGGCCGCTGGGGAGGGGGGTCCTAATCTCAAGGGTCACTCACCAGGGAGGTCGTTCAGGACGTGGCGCGCTTTTTGAGAACGGTTTTTTGCATGATATGAGGTCACGTACATGGAGTCCCAAACTGATGTTCATTTTTACTGAACGCCTCTGGGAATACCAAAAAAGGAGTGAAAAAGAAGTCCATGGAAACCGACCGTTTTTGAGCCTCAGTGGGCTCTAAATCCCTTGCAACTGGCTATTTAATGAGTGGAGGGTCCTTATAAGGGTACTATAGGAATCGAGGAGGAAAATAGTCGCAAATGGGGTCTTACTCGAGGCACCTGATCAAGAGTGAGCGGCTCTGAGCGGCTCGTCAGAGTGATTTCTTCAACGATTGGGGCGGTGTTCAGCTACAACGGTCGGATGGCCTAGTGGACAGCGTGGAGGATTCTCAAGCGGACAGCAAGGGTGGGGATTCATGGTTCGACTCCCCCCCCCCCGCTTGCGAGTTTTTGCATTTTTTATGTTCCGCTGTTCTCGCTTCCATATATGACTGTTTCTGAATTTTACGCGAATAGCTACCACTTATAGGCACATTAAATAGTTATACCCCATTAGTTGGTGCTATTGAACAATTTCGATTTTCATACGATTAAGCAATAACTTTTCTAAAACTTGATCTTTAGGCAGCGTTCATACTTGTAGCGCTACAGCGTCGCGCTACAGCGCCGCTTCGCAAAGTACTGCAATTTCCAACGTTAGGATGATTAGAGTTGCATACAGAGAAAAGTGGGAAGGTTGCTGGAGTTTTCTTGAGAAATTCACGGAAAGGTGAGACTGATACAACTGATACAGATGACCATCCTTGACAATTACTCCATTAGTCACTATTTTTTTGGTACTGCTTTTAGCGTAACAGTGTCCTTCTGTCCTACTAAGATCATTTTCTGCAAAAAACACCCAAAGAGTACTCTCGCCACCTATACGCACGCATGTTTTTTACCGGAGACAGAAGAACCATAAAGGAACTTATTGTTTGCCTTGTGTCAACGCATTGGTGAGCAGACACTGTTCGCGTGCTTGTTGTGGGAGATAAGGCCATTTTTACGCTCCTGATCCAAAAAAAGTACAAGAAACTGTCAAAGCTTTGTTGGGTAATGCCTCGAAAACCGGCATGAATCTTTTCCCTGTGATCCAGGCAGATTGGGGGCAAATTCGAAAAGTAGATTTCGCTTCATCCTACTATATATAATCCGCTTGTATGTGTGTCTGTGTGTTGTGTCTAGTGCGTGTGCGTGTGTTTTGTGTGGTGCGTGTGTGTGTCAAGAAATTATGCGAAGGTCGCAGAAAGATTAGTGGATGACGATTCAAAGAAGTGATGGACATGCGCAGGACGAGTAACACTTTGGTGCGGTGTACAGGAAGGTGATAACACTTGATATTAGTCGATAATTGGGCGTAGAAGGGGAGGTTGAGCTGAATTCGTAGCGCAAGTGTGCAGAATGTGTGTGGGACCGTGATTTCAGATAGTGATATATGGCGGCAGGTGAACTTTTTGCGATGGCCTTGACGGAGGTGATACACTTGATAAGTCATAAGGGGGCTTTAGGAAGGAGGGCGGGGGTGAGAATCGTAGCGCAAGTTGCAGCGTTGCGGGACCTTGATTTCAATGAGTGGGATATCATGGCAGGACTTGGAAAACTTTAGTGTGCGTGCAGGAGTCGATAACACTTGATAGATTCGATAAAGGGGCCTTAGAAGGGGGGGGCGGGTGCTATTCGTGCGCAATTGCAAGACAGCTGCGGGACCTTGTGATTTCAAAGGAGTGCTATACATGGCAGTACGGGTTAAAATTTATAGGTTGCGTGCAGGAGGTTGATAACAGCTTGATAAGATTCGATAAGGGGCCTTAGAAGAGGGGGGGGGTGCAGAAATCGTAGGCGAAGTTGCCAGCGCTGGCGGCAACCTCGATTTCAAGAAAGTGTACACATTAGGAGGACGGGAAACTTTTGTGGGTGAAGTCGAGGTGATCAACACTGGGAACAAGATTCGATAAGGGGACTTAGAGAGGGGGGGTGACAATTAGGCAATGTTGCAAGCAAGCTGCGGACCTCGCATTTCAAGAGTGATACACATGGCAGGACAGGGAAAACTTTCAGGTGACTGACAGGAGGTGATAAACTTGATAAGAATTCTATAAGGGGCATTAGAGGGGGGGGGGTGACGAAATCGTAGCGCAGCTTGCAGCAGGTGTTGGGACGTTGATTTCAAGAAGTGTATCACATGCAGGGGACGGTTAGAGACACTTTTGTGCTTGACAGGAAGGTTGATAACTTGTAAGATTTCGGTTTTAGGCGGCCTTAGAAGGGGGGTGGGGTGACGAAATCGTTAGCGGCAGTTTCAGACAGCAACTGCGGGACCTTGTTTAAAGGAGTGAAAATATTAAATGGCAGGGACATACAATATTCCCACTGTGATACGGCATGGGAAAACTTTAGGTGCGGCCGTGCGCAGGAGGTGATACCTTGATAAGATTCCGATAGGGGCCTTAGAAGGGGGGGGGGATGTACGAATCGTATAGCGCAAGTTCAGAAGCTGCGGGACCTTATTTTAATGGAGTGATATACAGTGGCAGGACGGGAACTTTAGGTGCGTGACAGGAGTGATAATTGATAAGATTCCGATATAGGGGCTTAGAAGAGGGGGTGGGTGGGGGTGAGCGAAATTCGTAGCGCAAGTTGCAGGCAGCTTGCCGGAATCTTCGATTTCAAGAAGTGACAGCTGGCAGACGGGAAATGTCAGCAGTGCGTGACTAGGAGGTGCATAACACTTTTGTAAGATTCTATAGGCGCCTTAGGAGGGGGCGGGTGGGAGTAGTACGAAATCGTAGCGCAGTTGCGCAGCGTGTTAGGGACGCGTTGATTTCAAGAAGTGGATTATTGCAGGCTGGTGAATTTTGGTGCTTGAACAGGAGGTGATAACTTGATAAGATACCTATAAGGGGCCTTAGAGGGGTGGGGGGGTGACCGAATCGTAGCGCAAGTCTGCAGCAGCTGCGGAGACCGTGATTTCAAGGAGGTGA